CGCTGACATGGGACAGGCCACGTGGTCAATCCGCGTGCGCGCAATCGGACGGCCCAGATCCGTTCCCGCGCGCACGGACTGTAACAGCCCCAGAAAAATTTAATATTGGAAAGGCATATATATAGATAAATAATCTGAATTTGCGGAAGCGTATTAAACATTGCAATTAACATCCCTTACGCAGTACCAAAACGTGTTCAACAAATGAGAGAATAAACTAATTAAAATAAATGCTCGAAAGTAAGAACTACAATTATAACTATGGGATCTTTAGGCATCCCCTTCGCCGTTTTCCTGCAGAACGGGCTCGGGAACCACGTCTTCCTGATATGAAATGGTTAAGTAAGGAGTGAGCTACACTAGTCCAGTAAAGACATCACTCTACCTCACTGCCACAGGAGTAAGGGTGGGTAGAAACAAAAACGACCAATGGAGCATAATTTGTAATAAACCCATTTGTTTATAAAAACGTTTACTTTCCATTTACCTGGGTGAGATCCATAAAATAATACACAAGCAACACATTATCATTATCACGTTATCACATAGACTTTATAATACAACATTTATCACGTGTTTGCATTTCAATCTTTAAACAGCATAATTCCTCTTTACTAGCCTACTAGTATCCATGGGGATCCATAGGGGTCCCGCTACCCGTGAACCTTTAACATTTATAACCTGATTCCAGGGCCGTCCCCATACCCCGTCCGGTATGGGCGCCAAAACACATAAGGTCTCCATACCCCGTCCGGTATAAGAGACCACATTCCCGGTAGGGTTCTCTACGGACCCGGTCCGTCCACCATCTCCCAGAATACCTAGTCAAGCTGTCCACATTATCCGTTTGCCAATTCACATAACCTTTTATCCCTTTTTCTTTAGTCACCATCATCAAGTCACACACAAACATGCAAACCAGTAGTTCATGCCGACAAGACAACACACAACATCGGGTTCTCAGTCATTCAGTCCATAATCAATGAAACAGTGATACATGCACACGAAACTATGAAATAAAAACATCAAACTGCATTTAAAATTGTAAAATAGAACAAACAACAACTGACCGACAAATACATTAGATTTGGGCTCCATTAGCAACCTTAAACGATTTCACACAGTTATTGATTCATGAAATACCATTTTATCATTTATTGCACTTTAATACCGTGATAGGAAATAGGGTGAGGAATCCTTACTTGTTTTCGGGACCCGAAATAGGCTTTTTCGAGCGCCTGCGGGTTATCCCTAAATTTCCTGAATTTTTTTATGAAGAATTGAAACACGCTACCGGTACCTGCACGTGTCCCAAAAATCTCAGAATCAGACCTAGGGCCCCTTTCGGCCAATATCGTAATTCCGACACGACGACTCTGCCGTGTTCCGGCGATGGCACCGCTGCTTGCGGTGGCGATTCGCCTCGGGTTGGCCGTTTTTGGCCGAATTCGGCCACACTTACATCGATCCTTGCGATAAAACAACCCCAGGGCCCTCGAGGGGCCAAAAAATTACGAAAAATCGAAGCTTACCGGTGGCGGTGCTCTCGGGTGCGGCAGCTCTCCGGCGTGGTTCGTGTTTTGGTAATTTGGCTCCGATCAACCTGTAGAGAAAAGAATGGTGATCACGGTGATATAAAAATTATATCAAACGGAAGCTGGGAAGGGCCTCATCGAAGGCAAAAACCGAGGAGGGGTGCGGCGGCGCCGCTGGGTTTCAACCGTGTTTTCCAGCCGTTTGGCCGGGAGTTTGGCTCCAATTTGTCCACAGGAGAACTCAGCATTGAAAAACGAGCTGGGGGTATGAAATTTACCTCGATCGGCGGTCGGAAAACTCCCCGGTGCGGCGGCGAGTGGCGGCGGCCGGCTCCTCCGGCGTCTGGTTCGTCTTCTTCGGCGAGGGCTGGCGGCTAGGGTTTTTGTGGTCAGGTGTGGGCGGTTTATTTATATCCTTTGCCTTTTAATCACAGCCGTCCATCTTGATTTAATCTGGGCCGTTCGATCGCGATTTAATTTGGATTAAATCTGGGCCGTCCATCGCGATTAAATCTGGGCCGTCCGTACTTGATTGAATCTGGGTCGTCCATGCGCGTGCATCTGGGCCGTCCGTGCGCATGCATCTGGGCTGTCCGTGCGCGCGGGGACGCATCTGGGCCGTCCGATCGCGCGCACGCAAATCGCCCACGTGGCCCGTTCCCGGGTCGGCGTGGCCTTTCCACGCAGCAGGTCCTGGTTGGTCAGGGCTGCTGACTGGGCCGCTGACATGGCTGCTGACGTGGCGCTGATGGAGCATAATTTTTTTAAATTGCGTTTTGACCACCGGTTTCTGAATTTTTTTTCAAAAATATCCCCAGAATCCAAATTTTTACCTTTTTTTTCCAAAATCAATTTCAATTAAATCCAAATAATATTTTTACCCAATTTTATTATTATTAATATTTTTATATTCACAAAAATTAATTTAAATCAAATTAAATCAAATTAGAAGGAGAGATATATTAAAAAGTTATATATATAGTTATATTGTAGCGGATAAAATTGGCTCTTTTAATTG